TCTCCTCCCCGAGACCCCTCTGCAAGGGGATCTCCAGTGGCCTACTAATGGGCTTTGGATCTCCACTCCTAAAATGATTTTTTTTTAAAAGACATTGATATAGTTAGTTTATTGTGCCAACCTGGCCGATAAACGTATGTGGGGTTAATTGAAGAGCAGAGAGATAAATGGCTTGGTGAGCCTCACCTTTCGAGTTCTCGGGTCTCTTGCTTTGTGATGGTCAGACTAGGGTGCAGCTGTCTTAGCCAGTGCTCTGCTTCAGCTGGCAAGGCTCACTTCCTGCGAGACATTCCCAAGAAGCTGCATGGACCTACCCGATGCAGCCCTGGGTGCTGGAGCACCCGTGTGGAGACCCCTGCCAGTGCTGAGATGCTTACACGTTCACTGATTCGGCTTTCCTCCTGCAGTCGGCATCATTGCGTGTGTTTTGTGAGATGGAGGAGGACTTTGTGGATTGGTGTTGAACATATGGGTTAATGTGGACTTGTGGGCTTGGGCAGCACTGGGTTGGGATGTTTTCTTGATGTACACTTAACCTTTATATAAAACTCTGTTTTATACATGAGTTTCTGTGGATTTGTTTCTCTAAAGTACCCAGACTAACACAGAAGTTAAAAAAAGAAAAGAAAAGAAGGTCTTGGCGCTAGAAATGAAGCTGGAGATAGCATAATAGAATTTTGCAAGACCAAGATTTCTTCATTGTAGATACCTTTTTTGAACCACACAAAAGTTGACAGCACACATGGACTTCCCCAGATGGAATGCACAGTAGTCAAATTGACTGTATCTGTGGGAAGAGACGATAGAGAAACTAAATCTCAGAAGCTGAAACAAGGCTAGGGGCTGACTGTGAAGCAGACCATTAATTGCTCATATGTAAGCTCAGGTTGAAGTTGAAGAAAATTAAAACAAGTCCACAAGAGCCAAAATACAACCTTGGGTATTTCCCATCTGAATTTAGCAAACATCTCAATAATAGATTTGATGCATTGAATACTAATGTTAGAAGACCTGACTAGCTGAGGGATGACATCAAAAATGTCATATGTGCAGAAAGCAAAAAGTCATTAAAAACATAGGTAAGAAAAGATCAAAGTGGATGTCAGAAGAGACCTAAACTTGCTTTTAAACAATGAATAACTAAATCTAATAGAAGAGTTGATGAAATGAAAGAACTTAACAGAAATTTCAAAGGATAGCTTGAAAACACAAACTATTGTCATGAAATGTGCGAAGACCTGGAGGTAGAAAGCCAAAAAAGAACACATAAAACATATATCAAGCTGAGTGACCTGAAGAAAAAGTTCAAGTTTCAAGTTGCACTATTGAAGGATTCTATAGGCAAACTATTGAATGATGCAGGAAGCTTCAGAAGAAGATGGAAGGAATACACAGAGTCACTATTAAAAAAGAACTGCTTGACATATAACCATTTCAAGAAGCAGCATATGATCAAAAACCAATGGTACTGAAAAAAGTCCAAGCTGCCCTGAAGGTATTAGCAAAAAATCAATGCTCCAGGAATTGACAAGATACAAATGGAAATGTTTCAACAAGCTGAAGAAGCACTGGAAGCACTCACTGATCTAACTCAAGAAATTTGGAAAAGTTACCAGGCAACTGATTGGAAAAGATCCTTATTTGTGTTCATTCCATAGGCAGGCGACCCCGCAGAATACAGAAATTTATAGAACAGTATCAATACTACCCATGCAATTAAAATTTTGCTGTAGATCATTCGACAATGGCTGCAGCAATACATCAACAGGGAGCTGCCAGAAATTCAACCTGGCTTTGGAAGAGGACATGGCATAAGGGATATCTTGTGCCTGACCCAACCCATGGTATTTTCAATCACTTCATATGCATGTGAAAGTTGCACAGTGAATAAGACGAGTGGATGCATTTTAATAATGGTGCTGGTGAAGAATATTGAAAGAGTGGTGGACTGCTAGAAAGCAAACAGTCTGTCTCACAAGAAGCCTAGCCAAAATGTTCCTTAGACGCGAGGATGGTGAGACTTCTCGTATACTTGGACATATTATCAGGAGAAACTAGACCCTTGAAAAGGACACAGTGCTTGGTAAGGTAGAAAGTCAGGAAGAAGAAGACCCTTGATGAGGTGGATTCGCACAGTAGCAGCAACGATGGATTCAAACAAAGCCATTGTGAGAGTGGTGCAGGACCTTGCAGTGTTTCATTCTGCTGTACAAAGAGGTGCTCTGAGTTGTAACTGGCACCATGGCACTTCACAACAACTTTATATATGGGAGTCGTGGTGAAATGGTTAAGTGCTTGACTGTTAACTGAAGGATGGATGGGAAGACCTGGTGATGTGATATGATATCATAAACATTACTGCCTTAAAAACCCTATGGGGGAGCTATACTCTGTCACATGGGGTCACTGTGGGTCAAAACTGACTTCACCCACGGATCTCCTTTAACTTTTCTTACTTTCTTTTGTCCTCATTTTCCTAGGTTTTGTAATGTGGATAATAATATTTACATCATTGAATTGCTTTGGGATTAAGTGAGTCAATATCTTACAACTTTTAGAATTGGGTCTCAGTTAATGTTAGGTGTTATTACTATTTGTATCTTAGATTTTTCTCTCCATCTTCATATATTGTATCCTTTATGTGAAGAAAAGTTACTTTTTTTTTCTTGGACCTTGATCCATTTGTAAGTTTTTCTTTGATTAAGCTTTTCTCTTTCATTTCTTTTTAGTTATAACTATGTTTAATTATCTAACCATCAAAAAACAAGCCAAACACAAAAGCCTTCATATCTCACTTGCTAGCTCAAGCTGTAGTCCTATTTTTCTCCCTCTCCCACCTTTAAGAATCTGCTCTTAGCCTGTGGAAGTTTGGCTTCTATATCTAGCAAGCACTGTTGAATCATGCTCACTATAACATTTTCAGAGGCCAGTTTGAGAACTCCCATGACCTCTTCTCAGCTTCTTCCAGTTCCAACTAAATTAAGTATTTCACACACACACAGGTGGCAGATGGTGAACCAAAAGGTATTCAGTAAATTTCAAACTAATGCCCCTTTATTTGGTGTAGTGGAAAGAATACTGGTGTTAAAGCCAGTAGATCTGGATTCTCAGTCTTACTCTTTCTGCTAAATCATGGGCAGATAATATTAGCTCTACGAAATTCAGACTTCTCTTGTCAAAATGGATGTTATATATGATTAATGCACCCACAGTATAAAGTTGCTGGCATATAAAACTTCCTAACAAGTATTGGATGAGATTGAGAATGCTAATACTGGCAATAGGGCTGGAGCAGGAATTACTACTGTCAGGTGTTACTGCTGTGAGTAGTAAGATCAAGGAGAAAGGGGTTGCTTGGTACATGGGAAAAGCTGGGTGGGGAAGTTGGGGCAGCAGCTGTTTACCAATAAGAACCACAATTGTATCATTGGTATGGTCATGTTTCAGCATACTGGCTGAAAGACCTGCCCTTCTGGTCTTCAGTATTGTACTATTTCCGGTTCTCTTCGTCTCTTTTGAAAAGCTTTCTTCAACCTTTATTCAGCAAGTATTCATTAAACATCTGTCATGTCCCAGGCCTTGTGAGTGTAGCAGAGAATGTCAAAAGTCTACCCATGTAGAGCTAATATTCTGACTTTATGCCTCTTTTTTCTCATCCTTCCACTGAGTATGAATATCTTATAAGTTCAGACTTTAACTGTTGTCTCCATTTGTATGAAGTGGGCTTCAGTGAATCACCTCTGTGAATACAGTTACCAGATCTCTTGACATATCTTCTGACATCAAGTTTTACTACTTTTCCACATGCCTGCTAGCATCATCAATATCCGAGACCGCAGACCCATGTTCAAAACGGAAATAATGATCTGACCTTCTTTTTCGGTGTTCCTGCCTTATCACATGGCGTCTTCTTTCTGGAAGGCCCTCTTGCCCCATAGCTCAGAACCTTTTCTCTGTGCCCTTTCTCACCAGCATCTCATTAGATGATACTGAATCCTTAGATTTTTACCTTGATTGTCCCTTAGCCTCTTGCTTTATGTCATTTCTTGTCTAGCATGAATTATAGCAGGAACTGATTTAGAGCATCAGTAAATCTTCATATATTAATTATTTAGAGTTAGTTGTACAACTCAGTTTCCAAAAGGTGCTACAATTTCTAAAAACAGCTTATATGGCTTAATCAGCGGAGTGTCTATAACAAGACCCTTACAGATTGTACTTCCTTGGAGGTTACATTATTTCAAAAAAGCCATAGAAAGCATAGAACATTAAACACAAATATGTCATTTTTAAAGTGTACTGTATTCTTTTTTCTTCAGGCTAATGGACGCTTTGAAGTGGGCAAGAAAATCTGTTTGAGCATCTCGGGACATCACCCTGAGACTTGGCAACCTTCGTGGAGCAGTGAGTATCGATTCATAGTGGTCATACTTGCACATAACTTTAGGGGCTTTATACTTGTGAAGTACATCTTCTTGAGATTAAAGCCAATTTGGAATTTCATATTATTGAATAAGTAACAAAAATGCTAGTCCTTGCCAACATTATAAGACAATTCCCGTACTATACCCTTTCTATTTTTTTCCTCTTCCCAGAATAAACCCAGTGCCTTTTACAGAGCAACTTAGATTGATGTTGACTTTTTATTTCAGTAAGAACAGCACTATTAGCTATCATTGGGTTTATGCCAACAAAAGGAGAAGGGGCCATCGGTTCTCTAGATTACACACCTGAGGAGAGACGAGCGCTTGCCAAAAAGTAAGTGTTCCCTTTTCATTCTTTCAAAATTTTTATATCAATACATTTTAAAAATTGTGAGTTGGGTGAAAGTTTACATGCAAATTGGTTTTCCATTCAGCAGTTTGTATACATTGTGTTTGTGACATTGATTGTTGTGCAGCCTCGCCACTGTCCCTTTCACAAGTGTTGTTTTCATCAACCGTCACAGAAACTCACTCAGGACCTTCTAAGCAGCCTGTCTCCACGTTCCCGTTCAGCTGCCTCGTGTAACACTCTGAATGCCTGCTTACTCTAGAGACTCCATATGAGCGGGATCACACAATCTTTGTCCTTTGTATCTTAACTATTTCATTCAGCGTATTAAAATGAAGATCTGTGATTTATTATATTCCAGACCACATTCATTACCAAAGATATGAGGCTGAATTAACTTTAATCTTGTATCCGCCACAGTTCATAGCTAACAACATTAAGATAATGCTATTAAAAGAAGAATTTCAGTTACAACTTAATGAGAATCTGAAAAATATGACAACCTTGGTGAATACTATGTATGAGTTGGTATTCTCTATGATAAAGAACATAGTTATCAGAGATAGAAAGAAAACAAAACAGTACATCTTTCCTGCTGTTTCTTGTTTGTTACCCTCTGCTGGTAGCAGTTTTGGGCTTAACTTCATTTCTATTCATTCTACCAGACTGCTGCCAGAATGAGGATCCTGTTCATCTTTCAGGGCAGCTAGATCATCTTTAGGGTCTATAGTGCGTTGCTCTTCCAAATAGCTAAAAGCATTTTTTGTTTACTCTCACCACATTTTTATTTTGACAGAAAACCAGTTGTTAGCCACTCCTTGCAGGTGGCTAAGCCAGCTGGCATAACCTGGTTCACAGAAACAATGTCTGCTTCCTACTGTGCTGAGTAGTGACTGGGCTGACTCAAAGGCCAGTGAGTGGCCATCTAAAGTGCAGCTACTGGCCTCTTCCCATCCACAGGAAAGAGGAGCGAGGAGAACCAGTGGCACAGGGAAACAGTCCACTGCACTCATAGGCCTTGGGAACCACAGGCACTGCTACCCTGAGGCCTGAAGAGCTGGATGGTGCCCAGCCACCGTCACTGACTGCTCTGATCAGGATCATAGAAGTTCTGGACAGAGTAGAAGAGAAAATGGTAGAAGAATCATAAGGAAATCAAATCATAAGGAAGACCAGGCTTTGCTGGTCTGACAGAAACTGTAGAGCATTTGAGACTCCAACTTCGGGCCTGGAATTGAACCTACTCCTGAGGATCACCTTGCAAACCGAACAGACAGGCCTAAAGGATAAAAACACTGAAAGATAAGAATATTCAACCATATGAGACCAACAGGGCACCATCTGCTCAAAAACAAAGCTTAGAAGCTAGAAGGGGCAGGAATTAAGGGCAGATGGAAACATGGAATCTGGGGGCAAAATGGGAAGAGTGCTATTACACTGAGGAAATTGCAGCTGATGTTATTAAAGAGAATATCTGTCAATGGTCGAATGAAAAACTAATGTGCTACTCTGTAAACTTTCACCCACTCTACAATTAAAAAAATTTTTTTTCACTTTACAATTAAAAAAAAAGATTGTTAAATTTTAGTTGATAGTTTATACAGTGATTTAGGTTCCCATTTGATAACTTGCCACACAAATTGTTGGTGACTCTCTAACAGTGTGTCAGCATTCTTTTTAACGGCGTGAACTTTGCTCCTTTTACTCTGCTTTAAGTTCTCGGCCCCTTCTCATCTGTACGTGTGCGTGCTTGCTGAGCTTGTGGTCTCACACGGATGGTTTCTGAGTAGGGCATTAATCTAGGGAGTGATTTCCTTCATTTTGTCTGCCGCCTTGCTGTTCCACTCCAAGGTGCTCTCTGGGCTTAGGATACTTGGTTTGTAGTGTGCCTCAGTGACTGTCTCGGAGCTTCTCTTTTCTGCTGCTATAGGTTGCCTGGCTTCCTTTTCAAATAATAATTTTGGTTCTCCGTATTTTTCTCCTGATCTAGCTGGGACTACCTATTGTGACCCCAGTTAGAATGGTCTGAAATGTCGGTCAGGCACCACCTACTACTACTGGTCTCAGGGGAGATGTGGTTGTGACTCACATAGACCATGAGTCAGCATCGACTTGATGACAGTGAGTTTATATTTTTTTGTTTTTGAGTTTTTGGTGCTTTTGATCACCTTCTTCCTGTTTCCTCTTGGTGAGTAGAGACCATGGTTGGAACCATCTAAGACTCCAGATGGTGCTCACGTTACTAGGGTGCTGAACTATAATATGCCAAAACTCATAAAGAATTTTTATACAGTAGTTCTTAAAAATCATGCATTGAGCTGCCATCCACAAAGTGAATGGTTCAAATCCACCAGTCACTCTCTAAGAGAAAGATGCACTCATCTGCACTCTACTCCTGTAGAGATTCAAAGTCTGGAAAACAAGGGCATTTCCACCCGTCCTGTAGGGTTCTGATACTGGCTCAGAATGAACTCCGTGACGGCGACATATGCCAGTGCACTAAGTTGTCCTAGACTCTCCGATTCTAAAGGGCTGGTCTTTGACTGTCACATCTTTCATGAGTCCAAACCACAAGTACCTCACCACTGACGTTTAATCAAATTAATTATAGAGGTATCTGATGTTTTCAGGGTTCACCCATGTCATAGCATATACCAGAACTTTATTTCTCTATAAGACATAATATAGACATTTCATTTTATGGGTACGAGGAGGCATCGAAGAGTTCATGGAATTAAATGATATTAGAATTTTTCCATAAACTTAAAAAAAAAATTTAAATATTTTATTGGGGGCTCTTACAGCTCTTATAGCAATCCATACATCAATTGTTTCAAGCATATTTGTACATATGTTGCCATCATCATTTTCTAAACATTTACTTTTTATTTGAGCCCTTGGTATCAGCTCCTCTTTTTTCCCCTCCCTCCCACCCTCCACAAACTTTTTGATGCCCCCCTGTGTGCTACATTTTAAAAGAATTTTTCTACTGAGTTAGGTGAAGGCTTGCATAGCACATCATCAGTTTCGTATTGAAAAGTTCACAGTTTGTCTCAACTCATTCATTACAGCCCCTTCAATGTACCATTGCTTATCCCACTTCCTCCTGGTGTTTCCTGTTTCTTTCCTCCTCATCTCTAAGCCTCTGAATTTTGTCCTTGGGTAAATGCTGCCCTTTTGATCGTCAGTGGTCGATTATTCTAACACAGGGGTGAATTCAGTTCTAGACCTGAAGGGTGATTAAGGGTGATAGTGGGTATCCCGCGAGTATCTATCCAACCAATAAGCCTCATCCCTTTTAGATAATGAGATCTGTTCTACATTTTTTTCCCACTCATTCAGGACCTTCTAATCTGATCCTCTTCATTGCAGTTGGTAGTGGTAGCGGACACCATCTCGTTTTTTTGTTTTAAATTTTATTAGGGGCTCATATAACTCATCATAATCCATGCATACCTCAATTGTGTAAAGCACATTTGTACATTATTGCCCTCATCATTCTCAAAACATTTGCTCTCCACTTAAGCTCCTGGCATCAGCTCCTCATTTTCCCCTCCCTGCCCGTTCCCCCTTCCCTCATGAAACCTAGATAATTTATAAATTATTATTTTGTCATATCTTGCATTGTCCGACATCTCCCTTCATCCATTTTTCTGTTGTCCGTCCCCCAGGGAGGAGGTCACATATAGTTCCTTGTATTCAGTTCCCCCTTTCCACCCCACCCTCTCTCTACCCTCCCAGTATTGCCTTTCTCACCACTAGTCATGAGGGGTTCATCGCCCTGCATTCCCTGTGTTTCTAGCTCCTATCTATACCAGTGTACATCCTCTGGTCCAGCCAGACTTGCAAGGCAGAATTGGGATCATGATCGTGGGCGGGGAGGAAGCAGTCAGAACTAGAGGAAAGTTGTATGTTTCATTGTTGCTACACTGAACCCTTACTTACTCGCTCGTCTCCTCCCC